GGCATAGGAACCATAACGGACCATACACAGACAAACCAGAGGCATAGGAACCATAACGGACCATACACAGACAGACCAGAGGCAAAGGAACCATAACGGACCATACACAGACAGACCAGAGGCATAGGAACCATAACGGACCATACACAGACAGACCAGAGGCATAGGAACCATAACGGACCATACACAGACAGACCAGAGGCAAAGGAACCATAACGGACCATACACAGACAGACCAGAGGCATAGGAACCATAACGGACCATACACAGACAGACCAGAGGCATAGGAACCATAACGGACCATACACAGACAGACCAGAGGCAACGGAACCATAATGGACCATACACAGACAGACCAGAGGCATAGGAACCATAACGGACCATACACAGACAAACCAGAGGCATAGGAACCATAACGGACCATAAACAGACAGACCAGAGGCATAGGAACCATAACGGACCATACACAGACAGACCAGAGGCATAGGAACCATAACGGACCATACACAGACAGACCAGAGGCAAAGGAACCATAACGGACCATACACAGACAAACCAGAGGCAACGGTAGGAACCATAACGGACCATACACAGACAGACCAGAGGCAAAGGAACCATAACGGACCATACACAGACAGACCAGAGGCAAAGGAACCATAACGGACCATACACAGACAGACCAGAGGCAAAGGAACCATAACGGACCATACACAGACAGACCAGAGGCAACGGTAGGAACCATAACGGACCATACACAGACAGACCAGAGGCATAGGAACCATAACGGACCATACACAGACAGACCAGAGGCAAAGGAACCATAACGGACCATACACAGACAAACCAGAGGCAACGGTAGGAACCATAACGGACCATACACAGACAGACCAGAGGCATAGGAACCATAACGGACCATACACAGACAGACCAGAGGCAAAGGAACCATAACGGACCATACACAGACAGACCAGAGGCATAGGAACCATAACGGACCATACACAGACAGACCAGAGGCATAGGAACCATAACGGACCATACACAGACAGACCAGAGGCAAAGGAACCATAACGGACCATACACAGACAGACCAGAGGCATAGGAACCATAACGGACCATACACAGACAAACCAGAGGCAAAGGAACCATAACGGACCATACACAGACAGACCAGAGGCAAAGGAACCATAACGGACCATACACAGACAAACCAGAGGCAACGGTAGGAACCATAACGGACCATACACAGACAAACCAGAGGCATAGGAACCATAACGGACCATACACAGACAAACCAGAGGCATAGGAACCATAACGGACCATACACAGACAGACCAGAGGCAAAGGAACCATAACGGACCATACACAGACAGACCAGAGGCATAGGAACCATAACGGACCATACACAGACAGACCAGAGGCATAGGAACCATAACGGACCATACACAGACAGACCAGAGGCAAAGGAACCATAACGGACCATACACAGACAGACCAGAGGCATAGGAACCATAACGGACCATACACAGACAGACCAGAGGCATAGGAACCATAACGGACCATACACAGACAGACCAGAGGCAACGGAACCATAACGGACCATACACAGACAGACCAGAGGCATAGGAACCATAACGGACCATACACAGACAAACCAGAGGCATAGGAACCATAACGGACCATACACAGACAGACCAGAGGCATAGGAACCATAACGGACCATACACAGACAGACCAGAGGCATAGGAACCATAACGGACCATACACAGACAGACCAGAGGCATAGGAACCATAACGGACCATACACAGACAGACCAGAGGCATAGGAACCATAACGGACCATACACAGACAAACCAGAGGCAACGGTAGGAACCATAACGGACCATACACAGACAGACCAGAGGCATAGGAACCATAACGGACCATACACAGACAGACCAGAGGCATAGGAACCATAACGGACCATACACAGACAAACCAGAGGCAACGGTAGGAACCATAACGGACCATACACAGACAGACCAGAGGCAACGGAACCATAACGGACCATACACAGACAGACCAGAGGCATAGGAACCATAACGGACCATACACAGACAGACCAGAGGCATAGGAACCATAACGGACCATACACAGACAGACCAGAGGCATAGGAACCATAACGGACCATACACAGACAGACCAGAGGCATAGGAACCATAACGGACCATACACAGACAGACCAGAGGCATAGGAACCATAACGGACCATACACAGACAGACCAGAGGCATAGGAACCATAACGGACCATACACAGACAGACCAGAGGCATAGGAACCATAACGGACCATACACAGACAGACCAGAGGCAAAGGTAGGAACCATAACGGACCATACACAGACAGACCAGAGGCATAGGAACCATAACGGACCATACACAGACAGACCAGAGGCATAGGAACCATAACGGACCATACACAGACAGACCAGAGGCATAGGAACCATAACGGACCATACACAGACAGACCAGAGGCATAGGAACCATAACGGACCATAACACAGACAGACCAGAGGCATAGGAACCATAACGGACCATACACAGACAGACCAGAGGCATAGGAACCATAACGGACCATACACAGACAGACCAGAGGCATAGGAACCATAACGGACCATACACAGACAGACCAGAGGCAAAGGTAGGAACCATAACGGACCATACACAGACAGACCAGAGGCAAAGGTAGGAACCATAACGGACCATACACAGACAGACCAGAGGCATAGGAACCATAACGGACCATACACAGACAAACCAGAGGCATAGGAACCATAACGGACCATACACAGACAGACCAGAGGCATAGGAACCATAACGGACCATACACAGACAAACCAGAGGCATAGGAACCATAACGGACCATACACAGACAGACCAGAGGCATAGGAACCATAACGGACCATACACAGACAGACCAGAGGCATAGGAACCATAACGGACCATACACAGACAGACCAGTTTTCGCTCTGAGAGTTCTGTTAATCAGGACAGATTAGTTCAAAACCCATTATCTGTTTATTCTCAGATTTGTTTGTGTGTGATTTTAGTTTGAACACGATCCGTCTCAGCTTCTCTCTGGCCTTGGATCCGTCTGAAGTTTAGCTCCGACATAAAGAAAGATGAATTACAGGTGACGTGAAAAGAACCAGAATAAATGATGCTTCAGAAAAATGTTGTATTTTGTGCCGAGTCTGAAAGCAGCAGACGGATCGCTCTGGGTCCACGTCAGGTTTGTCTGGTTCAAATCCTCTCAGATTTTATATGGACTGAGGCTGTAGACCCAGGACTGAGGCTGTAGACCCAGGACTGAGGCTGCAGACCCAGGACTGAGGCTGTAGACCCAGGACTGAGGCTGTAGACCCAGGACTGAGACTGTAGACCCAGGACTGAGGCTGCAGACCCAGGACTGAGGCTGTAGACCCAGGACTGAGGCTGTAGACCCAGGACTGAGGCTGTAGACCCAGGACTGAGGCTGTAGACCCAGGACTGAGACTGTAGACCCAGGACTGAGGCTGTAGACCCAGGACTGAGCCTGTAGACCCAGGACTGAGGCTGTAGACCCAGGACTGAGGCTGTAGACCCAGGACTGAGGCTGTAGACCCAGGACTGAGGCTGTAGACCCAGGACTGAGGCTGTAGACCCAGTACTTCAGAAAAATAAAATACATATAGAGCAGGAGATATATACTGTACATATAGGACAGGAGTCCGCGGTCCACTGCTTGAAAAACACGTCAGCAGCGGTGCCACCGTCCCCTTCGTCCCAGAAACCTCCAAAACGCTCTTCTCGCCTCATCGCACTCGGCAACAAGAAATTAGCCGTTTTCTCGGACACGCCGCAATTTGCATCTGAAGTTAGCGAGCCGCGAGATAAATGCTAATGTTTGGAAAGAAGAAGATAAATGCTAATGTTTGGAAAGAATAAAGTAGAAAGGATGGGACCAGCTGCGTCCACCTCCGCACTATCAGGAGACAGAGTGACTCTCATGGTTCTAGAAATTTATGTACATTTGTCATTACATACATTTATTATTACATACATTTATTATTATATACATTTATTATCAGGGGCGTATTAGCAAATTCTGGGCCCGGGTCCTAACACACTCAATGGGGCCCCACTACGTTAATACATATACACACATACTGTATACCCACACTTTAGAGGGCCCGGCTCTCTCTGTCTGTTTCTCTCTTTCTGTCTCTCTTTCTGTCTCTCTCTCTCTCTCTCTTTCTGTCTGTTTCTCTCTTTCTGTCTCTCTCTGTCTGTCTCTGTCTGTCTCTGTCTCTCTCTTTCTGTCTGTCTGTTTCTCTCTCTTTCTCTCTCTTTCTGTCTCTCTTTCTGTCTCTCTCTCTCTCTCTCTCTCTCTCTCTCTTTCTGTCTGTCGCTGTCCCTCTCTGCCATTAAAAACATGCTCACTAGGTTAAATTCCTCCAGCTCCGGTCCTGACCAAGCCGAGTATCAACATCTGGAGATGGGTTCCTGGGCTCTGTTACTATGGAAACCACTGTTCCTGTCTCTCTCTCTCTCTCTGTCTGTCTCTCTCTGAAACATAAACAGAACGGATGAAGCAGAAGAAAATGAAAAAGTTGTAAAAAAATAATGAAACTCATCTGCTGTGGACCGGCCCCTTCAGGAGTTCATCTGCTGTGGACGGGCCCCTTCCATCAGGAGTTCATCTAATATGGACCGGCCCCTTCCATCAGGAGTTCATCTAATGTGGACCGGCCCCTTCCATCAGGAGTTCATCTAATGTGGACCGGCCCCTTCCATCAGGAGTTCATCTAATGTGGACCGGCCCCTTCCATCAGGAGTTCATCTAATGTGGACCGGCCCCTTCCATCAGGAGTTCATCTAATGTGGACCGGCCCCTTCCATCAGGAGTTCATCTAATGTGGACCGGCCCCTTCCTTCAGGAGTTCATCTGCTGTGGACCGGCCCCTTCCTTCAGGAGTTCATCTAATGTGGACCGGCCCCTTCAGGAGTTCATCTGCTGTGGGCCGGCCCCTTCCTTCAGGAGTTCATCTAATGTGGCCCGGCCCCTTCCTTCAGGAGTTCATCTGCTGTGGACCGGCCCCTTCCTTCAGGAGTTCATCTAATGTGGACCGGCCCCTTCAGGAGTTCATCTGCTGTGGACCGGCCCCTTCCTTCAGGAGTTCATCTAATGTGGACCGGCCCCTTCCTTCAGGAGTTTATCTAATGTGGACCGGCCCCTTCCATCAGGAGTTCATCTAATGTGGACCGGCCCCTTCCATCAGGAGTTCATCTAATGTGGACCGGCCCCTTCCATCAGGAGTTCATCTAATGTGGACCGGCCCCTTCCTTCAGGAGTTCATCTGCTGTGGACCGGCCCCTTCCTTCAGGAGTTCATCTAATGTGGACCGGCCCCTTCAGGAGTTCATCTGCTGTGGGCCGGCCCCTTCCTTCAGGAGTTCATCTAATGTGGCCCGGCCCCTTCCTTCAGGAGTTCATCTGCTGTGGACCGGCCCCTTCCTTCAGGAGTTCATCTAATGTGGACCGGCCCCTTCAGGAGTTCATCTGCTGTGGACCGGCCCCTTCCTTCAGGAGTTCATCTAATGTGGACCGGCCCCTTCAGGAGTTCATCTAATGTGGACCGGCCCCTTCAGGAGTTCATCTGCTGTGGACCGGCCCCTTCCTTCAGGAGTTCATCTAATGTGGACCGGCCCCTTCCTTCAGGAGTTCATCTAATGTGGACCGGCCCCTTCAGGAGTTCATCTGCTGTGGACCGGCCCCTTCCTTCAGGAGTTCATCTAATGTGGACCGGCCCCTTCCTTCAGGAGTTCATCTAATGTGGACCGGCCCCTTCAGGAGTTCATCTGCTGTGGGCCGGCCCCTTCCTTCAGGAGTTCATCTAATGTGGACCGGCCCCTTCCTTCAGGAGTTCATCTGCTGTGGACCGGCCCCTTCAGGAGTTCATCTAATGTGGCCCGGCCCCTTCCTTCAGGAGTTCATCTGCTGTGGACCGCCCCCTTCCTTCAGGAGTTCATCTGCTGTGGACCGGCCCCTTCCATCAGGAGTTCATCTAATAAGATAAGATTGCTTTATTTATCTCACAGAGGAGAAATTTACATGTCACATTTGGCATGGATAGAGACACTCAGATTGTGCAAAGGGAGGAAATGTGCAAACATGTTACATGCAGGATATATGTACAATAAAGTGACAATAATTATGTACAACAAAAGTGACAAGTGTCAATTGGAAACAGTGTCAATAGTAGTGCAGGTTTTCACACAGTGATCATTTAAAGTGACTTATTGTACAGTCTGACAGCGGTGGGGATAAAGGCCCTGCGGTAGCGCTCCTTCCTACACTGAGGGTGTCTCAGTCTTCCACTGAATGTGGACCGGCCCCATCAGGAGTTCATCTGCTGTGAACCGGCCCCTTCCTTCTGGAGTTCATCTGCTGTGGACCGGCCCCTTCCTTCTGGAGTTCATCTGCTGTGGACCGGCCCCTTCAGGAGTTCATCTAATGTGGACCGGCTCCTTCCTTCAGGATCAGTCTCTTAAAGGTGCATCGTTCTCTCGGCTCTGGTCTTGACTGGAAGTCATTCACATGGACCATTACAGGACAGAAATCACCTTTAAACTGGACCATTTCTTCCCCTTGTTGGATTACGTCCCACAATATAACACAGTTTAACAGCAAAATGTGTTGAAAAATGTAACGTGTCGTTTTTATGAAATTAATTAATCTTAATTACTGCATTAAAGTCCCGGCCTTAAACATGATGTATTATCATAACCCTGTGTGTCGCTAGTATCGCTAACTATAGTCCTCCTCTGATCCTCTGATCTCTGACACGTGATGATCTCACTCTGAGGAGAAGGTGTGAAGGTGCAGAAGAAGAGATAAAGCTGATTGCACACTCCTGAATGTGATAGAGTCAAAATGTCAGAAGGAAAGGTGAAGTTTAAGACTGAATCTAATGAGCTGCTAATAATGTATAAATATATATTAAATGAATAACAAATAGATTTATGGTGATGATGGTGAGGGTTTAATTAGTAAAAACAAAAAAGGCATTAAGGAAATGATATTAACATAAACATATTCTATATTCACTGAGTAAATCAAGTGCATATTATTGTGATGTCACATGTAAATCACTGACTACGCTCAGCCGGAGCCTCCACATCCTTTAAGATCATTCAGAATAATAAAGAGAACAGAACAAACAGAACCTACTGTATGTGTGTACATTATCATGTATTGTGTGCTCATGCGGCCCCTCCCCCACCCGCTCACATACAACTAATGGGACGTCACAAAAACATTACATTAAATTAATAAAAACTGTCCTGTGATCCCAGAGCAACAGTGGATCTGAAGCTACAGCCTGTTCGTCCCTGGGGTCAGATCCTCTCCATGTGGTCCTGAGGGTTTGAGGTCAGAGGTCGTACTGCCCCCTATGGGTCTGAGGTCAGAGGTCGTACTGCCCCCTATGGGTCTGAGGTCAGAGGTCGTACTGCCCCCTATGGGTCTGAGGGTCTGAGGTCAGAGGTCGTATTGCCCCCTATGGGTCTGAGGGTCTGAGGTCAGAGGTCGTACTGCCCCCTATGGGTCTAAGGGTCTGAGGTCAGAGGTCAGACTGCCCCCTATGGGTCTGAGCGGCTGAGGTCAGAGGTCGTATTGCCCCCTATGGGTCTGAGGGTCTGAGGTCAGAGGTCGTACTGCCCCCTATAGGTCTGAGGGTCTGAGGTCAGAGGTCGTACTGCCCCCTATGGGTCTGAGGGGCTGAGGTCAGAGGTCGTATTGCCCCCTATGGGTCTGAGGGTCTGAGGTCAGAGGTCGTACTGCCCCCTATGGGTCTGAGAGTCTGAGGTCAGAGGTCGTATTGTCCCCTATGGGTCTGAGGGTCTGAGGTCAGAGGTCGTATTGCCCCCTATGGGTCTGAGGGTCTGAAGTCAGAGGTCGTATTGCCCCCATGGGTCTGAGGTCAGAGGTCGTACAGCCCCCTATGGGTCTGAGGGTCTGAGGTCAGAGGTCGTACAGCCCCCTATGGGTCTGAGAGTCTGAGGTCAGAGGTCGTACTGCCCCCTATGGGCCAATGGCTCCTATGTTTGTTAACATTACATTTCTTATAACGATCTGATTCTCTGATCTGTTATCGGTGAATTGACATCTTTGTAAAGTCCTGCTAAAGACTGTTGTGATTTAGGGCAACACAAAAATATAGACATTGAATCGAATTAAATTATTTCATAAAATATTTGTTTGTAGAAATCATCAACTCAGTCTGGAAAGACTCAAGATGAAGATTGCATTAGAACATGTATTATCAGATTGATGAACAAACAGCACAGACTTAGATTCAGTGTTGCCAACTTAGCGACTTTGTCGCTAGATTTAGCGACTTTTCAGACCCCTATAGCGACTTTTTTTCAAAAAAGCGACTAGCGACAAATCTAGCGACTTTTTCTGGTGTTATTGGCGACTTATCTGGTGTTTTGGCGACTTATCTGGTGTTTTGGAGACTCGTGAAGCACGTATTGTTCTGCAGTCTCACAGTAGCCTTGCGCAGCAGTCCCAGCTACAGTCTATGGGCGGAGCAGAGAGAGAGAGAGGAGACTCAAAAGCACAGGAAGTTTTCAGGCTGCTGCAGACTGAACTTCAGCTCCACCACCACCACACATCCAAAGCTCCCCGGCCACTCCTACCACCGCCACCCCCCACTACCCCCCACTCCATCCGCGGCAGCTCTGTCCGTGACTCTGTTTTCTCTCAGTAGTGGGTCACATTAAATCATTTGTTATGCCAAACTATGAAAAAAAAAAAAAAACTTACAAAAATAAACCTAAGTAACTCTGCCAGAGTGTGTCTTTTGGGTCACTTTGCCGGTCCCAAGCCCGGATAAAGGAGGAGGGTTGGTTGTAGAGCTAGAAATTTCACCCTACATAACAATCTTTTGATTACATTTGCTGTTATAACATTTAACAATACAGGACAAAACTGATGTGTGTAATGTGGATCTAGACAAAGCATTAAAATCATTAAATGTTGTTAATGTTGAAATTATTTTTGCACATTTGTAGTTCTAAACATATTTAGGGTGTTTTTACTCACTTTTGTCTCTCCCACGACCTTATTCCTCTCTCCTACAGCGTCCGTTACAGTTATTTGCAAATGGCAAATTATGCAAATTAGGCGATGACGTCATTTAGCGACTTCTAGCGACTTTTGGGACAGCCAATAGCTACTTTCCTTACTGAGGAGTTGGCAACACTGCTTAGATTGAGACTGTTATATTTGTTGATAAGCTTTGTCCATTAGACCCCGGCGGGAAAACTGCATGACGTCTGTGGAAGGGAGTTTATTAGACATTTTGAGTTTGCAACCCCCAAGAACCACTTTTGGACCAAGAGCCACTTTTGGACCAAGGACCACTTTAGGACCAAGAGCCACTTTTGGACCAAGAGCCACTTTTGGACCGAGAACAACTTTTGGACCGAGACCACTTTAGGACCAAGAGCCACTTTTGGACCAAGAGCCACTTTTGGACCGAGAACAACTTTTGGACCGAGACCACTTTAGGACCAAGAGCCACATTTGGACCAAGAGCCACTTTTGGACCAAGAGCCACTTTTGGACCGAGAACCACTTTTGGACCGAGAACCACTTTTGGACCGAGAACCACTTTTGGACCAAGAACCACTTTTGGACCGAGAACCACTTTAGGACCAAGAACCACTTTTGGACCAAGAACCACTTTTGGACCAAGAACCACTTAGTGACTGAGAACCACTTTTGGACCGAGAACCACTTTTGGACCAAGAACCACTTTTGGACCAAGAGTCACTTTTGGACCGAGACCACTTTAGGATCAAGAACCACCTTTGGACCAAGAACCACTTTTGGACCAAGACCTACTTTAGGACCAAGAGCCACTTCTGGACCAAGAGCCACTTTTGGACCGAGAACCACTTTTGGACCGAGAACCACTTTTGGACCGAGAACCACTTTAGGACCAAGAACCACTTTTGGACCAAGAACCACTTTTGGACCAAGAACCACTTTGTGACCGAGAACCACTTTTGGACCGAGAACCACTTTTGGACCAAGAACCACTTTTGGACCGAGAACCACTTTAGGACCAAGAACCACTTTTGGACCAAGAACCACTTTTGGACCAAGAACCACTTAGTGACCGAGAACCACTTTTGGACCGAGAACCACTTTTGGACCAAGAGCCACTTTTGGACCAAGAACCACTTTTGGACCAAGAACCACTTTTGGACCATCCTGTAAAGCCGTTTCCAGAGGTAAGAAGAGGCTATATGTTAGCATTGGCTATTTCTTATTCCAGGTCCACCCCCACAGGCCGAGGGTGGTATTGCAGCATGTCAACGCGCAATTACAACACAAAAAAGTCGGTATGAAAACATGCAAAGTCACAAAATACTAGTATAAAAACAATTACATTATCGACACATTATGAAACTTCAGTCTCCAACAGTCTCTGATACACACAGATGAGAAAACAAACTCTAAAACAAAGTGTATCGAAGTTGAACCGGTCCATGGTTTCGCTGCTGATTCATTTCCATTTTCAGACTCAGTGAATATTTGATCATATTTACCTGCTCATGTGGGCAGTGTTTAGAAAAGCACAAGGCTGAATCCACCCACTCTCTTTGTCCGAGCGCAGAGCCGCCTTGAACTGTCCAAGTTCCAGTTTTAATTAGGAAATAGTTTCACCTTTTGCGGTAAATGTTTGAAATGTTCTGGAGGATTCGCTGTGTTTGGGCAGAAGGGCATCGCACAAAGACCACAAATACAAATGTGAGAAATACAGAAACGTGTTTGATGCTCACAAATATGTATTATTATTGTTATTAGTAGCAGTAATATTATAAGATTTAACATTATTGTTATTGTTATTAATATCTGTTCATATTGACGTCATTCAGTCTCGTACGTTGGAACCTCCCAGAGCCGCCATTTTAACTGCCCCCGTTCAAACCAATGGAATTCTGGAAAAAATCTCTCCAAAAATGATTTGTTTTTCTCAGTGGCTCAGTTGGTCGAGCATTG